GCAGGAGTTTCTAGCATTTTGTATTAAATAGCCTCATCATTTCTCTGCCCAGTGAAAGGGCTCCGGAAAGCACCCTTATGATATACCTATTATTGACATCATTACAAGTTCTTAGGACCGCTTTATCTTTTGTTGCTTCTACCATTGCCCCATTAGCTCTTTCCTCTTCAAGCTAAAAGACTAAAGAATGCTGGAAAGGGGGGCAGCCGGTTAGCTTAGGTGGTTAGAGTACAGTGCTCTTAACACCAAGGTTGCCGGTTCGATCCCCACATGGGCCAAGGAGCTGCGCCCTCCACAACTAGATTGAAGACAACTGCTTGACTTGGAGCTGATGGGTCCTGGAAAAACACACTGTTCCCCAATAAAATTTCTTAAAAAAAAAAAGTGCTACTGGGAGCAAAGCACAAAGTGGTGATCAGGCACATTGTTAACTGCTTGAGAAAAGGTGAGTGACTTCATAGGGGACGACAGATAAAGAGGGTCTCTAGGGGATGTGTCTGGAATGCGTGGGTTGAACGCTGCGCGGCTCAATGCAGGAGGCCCCAGCATCTGGGTTGTGTTCCCGGGAGTCCTGGCTGGGCGGCCTCCACCTGCTGGAGGAGGGGCCGGGGCGGAGCTAAGATGCGGAGGGAGGTGACGCACCGGAGACCCAGATCGCTCGGCTGCCCGCCCGACCCCCAGCAAGGCCCAGACCGCAGCAGGCGCCTCCGGCCCTCGGTGAGTCCTGCGCTTAGCCGGCTCGACCTCCTGACGCCCAGGCGGCATGCGGGTGTTTGGGGGTCGGGACTCGTTTAGGGCTCAGATCCTAGAGTAGCAGACTGGGGGCAGACAAAGGATGATGGGTGTGGGTAAATTAGGAGGGTCGGCTATAGATACGAAGGAAGCAGTTCCCAGGGAGACTGCGTAGCTCATCAAATGATAACGGTGCTGGCCAGGGGTGTACATGAAACAAGGCATCCCGCATTCAGAGCGGACTCAGGGAAAGATGGAGATGGCTGGGGGGCTGGGGGCTGCCTCCGGCCTTTCCCGTCAGAATTTCAGGCTTTGCTCTTTGGACAACAAGGTTTTGCATACAGGGGTGACTAGAAAAAGCCTTTCTATGCAGAAAAATAAAAAATAGAGGTTATAAATATTTCGGTTTCAGGGAAGCAAATGCGTAGAAAAATGGTAGAAAGAAAGGGGTTGCGCGGCCACCGCCAGTAGCGCAGGTCTGCAGCTGCAGAGGGAAGCTTCATGGATGTTTGTCCCCATGTTCTGCAGGCCTCTGTTTCTACAGAAGCCAACGTTTAGTACAGGGTGACTCCCCGGACTAGTGTTCGCCTTCACGGGTCTGTCTTCCCTCTCATCACTCTGCCTCCCCAAAAACGTAATCCCCGGAACCCTAAGGCAATATTGCCAACATAATAATAGCAACATCTGCATAGGGGGCTCCTGTGCCTGGCAGGGTTCTAATCCTGCCTACGTGCTTCCCCACACCTCACAACAACCCTATAAGACAGATGCTTTGCTCAGCCCTTTTGCAGAGGAAGAAGCTGAGGCGTTTGCCCAAGATCATGCAGCTGGTAGGTGACTGAGCAAGGTCCCCACTTCCCCTTCCAGATTGCAGGGCAGGCCTCAGCTGTGTATATTTTCATCACCGTCAGGTTCTCAAACGTATTAGATGTCTGCTAAGCTAAATTGTTCCTTCCATCACTCCTAACGTTTCTGATT